AGTCTGAGGGTTAGATAACCTGCATGGAAGTTTATGATGTTAAGGTCTGAAAGGTGGCTTTTAGTCACACCAGGTGTATTGATTTCACTTTAATAAACAGCAGTTAATAGTAGCAGCACAACCCGCGCCCGCTGTGCAGGGCGCTCAGCTGTCAGAGGGAGGCTGGACTCATCACCCTCCGCCTCTGCATCCACCTCTTCGGGTTCGAGTGTAATTGGGCCTCTGGAGGATTACGTGTCTACCTCTGCGCTCGACATCGTTACTTTCATCTTTTTAAAGGTTTGGTTTGTCCTCGACTGACTGACAGCCCGGCACTCTGAGACGCCGCTGAGGGCTGAAGTGTTGGCAGGGATTGGGAATATTTCTCTTTTCATCACACTTCCATCAGGGGTAACGCTGTGCTTCTTTTTAAACCGATCAAATAACAACTTTTAGTTTGAGAATAGCTCTTCAAAGTGTGATGCAGCTGGTGTTTCAGGCTCCATTTTGTTGTTGGTTTTCCTTCTAGACGCCTCTTCTACAAAATCTCACCCCGCGGCTGTTGCTGTTGGTCTGACCTTACAATTTCTTGTTGACGGTCAAATTTTTCTGAGAGATCAAAAAAAAGTTGTTCAGCGGCGTTGATGCAGCTTGAGGCGAAAGACAAAAAAATGTAAAACTCCTGAGTCGTTACATTGTAGTTTGTATGACCTGTTTATGTTGTTTTTCTTTTTTTAAACTTATTTTTCTTTTTATTGATCCTTTTATCCACTAAAACTCTGGATAATTTAGTTTCATCTTAGTCAAAGAAAACCATCAACATTTGAGTCTATTTGTTGTTAATGAAAACACTTGACATTTTAGTTTTTAATTCATCAGAAGATTGGTTGGCGAAGATGCTGCAAACATTTTATTCTAGTTTGAGTGAAGAATAAGAAAAGAATGAGCAGTTCAGTCAAACTTTCATTCAGTTAGATTCATCCAACTGGTTTTAGGCTAAAAGAAAATAAAAATGCAAATAAGCCACAACATGACAGGTTGTATGATTAAGAATGCAGCTTTGCAGAGACGATGTCTGCTCTGATGTTATTAATTTAAGCAAAACATCCAGACATGAAAGAGAATAAAATAAACAATAAAGTCTAGAAAGATAAAACAACATTAGTAAATCCAGGGCAATCTATCTCTGGCAAGATGAGTCAATCGTTGCTATGATTTTTAACTTTATGTTTGATAACACAAACCCAGAAAAGAGGAAACTACAATCAGTCAGTCAGAACCTTTTGAACAGCAGCTTTACAGCAAATCCTGCCCTTAACGTAATGTTGAGTTTTGTCAGGACTGTGCCATAAACCCCACAATGACACCAACTATTATTCCCAATGCGCTGATTTTCAAATTCAGGTAATGTTATCCTCTCACTTTCCCCCGCCGTCGTCTGACTCTGTGGGAGGTCTAAGCACTATTTCTGCTCTCATTGGCTCCAGAGGAGATGCAGTTGGATTTCTGACTTGCTCTGTGGATTTGTCCAATTCATCCAAACTTTCAAACTCCATTGTACCAACGCATAACTAGTCTGAAGTACCGATATCATTCTTGTGACAAAAACAAAGATGGCGGTTCGCTAGGTTACAAATACAACATGTTTTTTGGTAGAAAAGGCTTGTTTTTATAATGTTGTATTGTTTTATACCTAAATAATTCATTGACATGATAAATAGGTGTGATTTAAACAGTGAAAAATAATGTAGAAACCTAATGGAAATATGACATTTATGTTTGATGTATTAAATTAAGGAACGTAACAGTCTCCACACGTATCTGATGTTTTTTCGTCTGCAGCTATTTGCTCTTCAGTGAAGTGGAAGCTCATGTGGACGTTTGGGTCACATGTTTCATCTACATCATGATTTAAGTCTATTTCATCTTCTCCACTGCTGCCTAAGCGTAAAAACTTTTCTCCAGTATTTGGAGATTTTTTCAGATTTCCACTCAGGTTTTTAATGTGTAAATTTAAAATGTACATTAAAACAGGTTCATGGAAACCTATACCACAGTGCCCTATGTAGTATGTAGGGAGTGATTTTGGACACAGCTCTGTTCTTGTTCCCCTGACTGTCATTTGTTGATGTAACATTAGTAAATGTGAAGGAGTAAATGCAGAGCAATAATTTTGTCAAGTGTGAATCTGGTGATACATTGAAAAGGCGGGAACAGGCGTCTCTTCTGAACTTGCTTTGATCGTTAAACACTTCAGGTCTCCTAAAACAGGATTAGTCTCCTTTTCACCTCAGCTGCACATTTATGTGACTTTGTTTTTTTTTTCGCACCGTTTCACACTGAGGAAGTAGAACAAGTAAGAAAAAAGAAAATGGGGTGGGGGGGTGGGGGGGCTTCTTGCTGTGTGGGCAATGCTGCTGTCAACAGCTTTGAAAGGTCCTCCACATCCATGAGTCATGTGTCCTGTGTTTGACAGGCCTGCAGCTGCCAGCAGCAACCTGTAGCTGTGGACAGGGTGACAACACAATATACTGAGAAGTCATTGAAGCCACATGTGTCTGTCCTGATGGAAGGATCCCTCCTGGTTTTTCTTTGTCTAAATTTTCAGGTCTGAGGACAGAGGATGTCATATGTTGTACAGATTGAAACTCGATAATATATTGTATGTACAGAATTATCTGAAGTGTAGGCACAGAGCTTTTATTTTGAAGTACCACTGTAGAATAGCAGGACAACATGCAAAGGTAAATTTACGTTAAATGCAGCGTCTGTCGCTGCCTTCTCTGGTCATGTGACGTGTGACCAATTCCAAATTACTTCCAGCTGCTAGTTTAGTTCTTTCAATGTGATCTGGTTTGAAGCTCCAGTTGTGTCTTTGCGCGTGTGTTCAGCCTGCAGTATGTGTGGAACATGACTTAAAGGCCCCTGAAAACACATTTCCTCGACCAGCTTTACATTACGAACACTGAGCTCCTACATGGACAAAAGTTAGAACAGTTTTTATTTCACACAGAGAGATTGTGTCTCTGGTTGGTTTGAAGAAGGTGATCTCTGTGCACCAATCAGGATCTAGCAATATTTCAAATTTATTTGTATAGCACATTATCGTACAAAGAGGTCATTCAATGTGCTCAACGGAAATAAAAGAAGCATAAAAACAGAAGTAAAACGCACATTAAGAAAACAGTATAAAAACAGTATAAAAACACAGATTATAAAATAGGTAATATCTCAGTCGATCAAGGTGTGAAGAAGGTTGTGGGGTTGTGTGCTTCTGCTGATGGAGCATATCTGATGAAACCACTAACGTGCAGTAACACAGTCCTGTTGAAGCTCATAAGTTTAGAACTTTTGATAAATAATAAATCGGATTTGGTTTGATGATGATTTCCAGAGGCTTTCAGACCATTTGGGATCACTGGTCTAAATCATATTATACATCATCAAAGCAAAGCCAAAGTCAGAGACAATCTGTGCATCCGAAAGCTGCACGTTTGGTTGTTCAGTGATTAAAAACTTTTCTCACCCACAATGTGCTGAAAACAAAGGTCTGGTCATAAGCTCTCACAGTTCGATATGTGGTGACCCACAGGACAATTGTCACATTGACAATGCAACAAAAGCTTTGTGAAACACACAGTACGCGGGGATTACTTTGTCCACTTTTATTTTATCTCCAGTATTGTCTGCATGATGGTCTGTTACCAGCTGAATAATAACCTCTTACTCAGTGTTTTTCATGCTCTTCTGTCACGACTCTCCTCATGTGTAGTTTGCTGTTCACACGTCTTGTGACAAACAGTTCTGCAGTTTTAAAAGAACAAAAAAAACAAACAAAAATGAATCATGAAATGTGAATCATGTCACACAAAAACCATGAAGATAACAGCATGATGAATCACTCCCTTTTATTCAAAAAGTTTTTCCTTTTCTACCGTACATTACCATCACAGCAACAGCATCGATAATGATTTTATTCCTGCTCACATGTGGTGGTTGCTATAGAAACAGCTAGACACTGGGTAGGCTGCAAGGCCTGGGTCACAGTATGAAAGTGCTGAAAAACTTTTGAATTGTGGCGAAAGCAACTTGAGACATGCAGGGTCGGGCTTGTGTTTTAAATGTTTTAAATGAGGCCTGCAGACCACAGGCTGCACCTCCTCACTGCTGCAACATCTGAGCGCGGGTTATTTCCAGCAGCAGAGTCATATTCATCACTATGTTTATTTCATTCGAGTGAGACTGTAAGGATGTTGATAGTCAGTACGGTCATGCTAGCTGCTGTATGAAGCTGTAGACCAATGTTTGTTGTCGTTTTAGGATCGACAATAATCTAGAGGTGTGAAGAAGCTGAAGTTTGCAACGTGCCGGATTCAGTCTAAATAATAATATTCATGTCCAACCTCCACGGGCGTTTTATCATTTCATTAACACTCACTAACACTGAGTTCGTCTTAAAGAGACCAACAACTGCATATAAAGATGGACGACGCGTCTCCACTCCCTCCCACTGTACAACAATGAAACCACAATATCCCTGATACGAGCACGGCAGACCCTTAGTTTAACTTGTTAGCATGCTAACATTTACTAATAACATTATGTACAGCAGAGGCTCATGGGGATATCGGTGGTTTTAAGGTATTTGATCAGAAATCAAAGTATTGGCTAAATTAAAATTCATCTTGAAGGTCTGAGACATGTCGAGGAAGTGGTGGATCCACCAACAGACAGACAGACCAACATTTACATCTATAGAGGTTGCTAAAAACAGTCCGTGTACTGTAGTGGAGAAGGAGCTGTTTATCTGTCTGAATAAAAATGGCAATAGATGTAAAATACGGTAAATGGTAAAAACTTTAGAAGAGTAAAAGAAGAAAGTTGTAGTTTACTTTCTGACCTTGTGATTATTCAGGGCTGAATGTGAGTAATGTTTTTACCTTCTGGTTACTTCTTTCTTCATGCACATGTAAATTTATGCACAGAACAACCATCCTAAGTATTCTTTCTCCTCTCTACAGCCGATGTAAAGCAGCACAAGGTCAGAGGCTAAAGACTGCGTTTCTCCTGCCCACATCTGAAGCCAAGAGTCATTAAACAGGTACATATGGTATGATGCTTTCTGTTGCTACTTCATCCAGTTGCAGTTTTCAGTTCTCTTTGGTTGTGTCTTAATGTCCGTCCCAAGAGTTTATGTTTGCATCCATCCCAACTTCTGAAAATGAAAATATCCTTTCACTTCTTGTCATAGGTTGCATGTGTCAAGTGTGTGTGGCCAGTCAGCCAAAGAGTCACTTCTCATATGAATTCATTTGAATAATTTAGAGACACGAGGAGGTGAAATTATCCTGTAATTAACTGGTAAAAAAAACAAAACAAAAATGATTCATTGCAGATTAAAACCAGTTGCCAGATTAATAGATGACGTATGGGATTTCTCACAATCACCTTAAAGTTGAATAAACTCTTGAACAGTTTCATTAAAGCTTTATGGTGAGTGCAGGGCTGTTGTATTGGACTGCACTGTGTGACATTTACACTGGTCTGGTATTTATAGCTTAACAGCACCATGATGAATTTAAATAAACTTCAGCCGTGTGTTTGTATTCAATAATGCGTCCTCGTGCAAAGCCTTAAAGGACAAGCCTGGTGATATTCTATATCTGTTTTACCAGCGATGTATCTCTCACCTTCCTATTGTGTCTGTGGCTCAGCTCCAAGGCCACTGGTTCCTACTGATACTGTGATTTCCTGGAGCAGCATTTGTTTGGGACTATTTTCTGCAGCAGATGAATCCACATTTAGTGCAGTAGTGAGTATTTCAGGCAGCAGGACGGTGTGTATGACACTGAGACAAAATAAACTACGGTGTGTGTGTTCATGGTGATGAAGGAACATGTCACCCAGAGCGACAGTGTGCCTCATTGATGTGTTTTTAATACTGTAGTTTTTGACAACAGAGCAGCTCTATGGCTCAGGGGAATAAGATATATCAGGCTTTGATGCACACACAGTAGCTTGTTAGTGGAGGACATTCAGTGTTGGTCTTCTGTGGGTTTGTTGACAAGAAGAAAAATACAGAATATCATCAGACACATCTTCAGCATTTCTGGACAGGGTTTAGGTTTTCTCTGAAAACCCTGCTGCCATCAGCATGATTTTATCACTGTGGTTATTTTCCTTTGATATATTTTTGTCTCATGCCACGGTGCTTCTTTATTTGTTGTGGCATATGGATATTAAACTTGGTCTGGTTTAAATTGTTAGACTGATCAAATAGGATTTAAACTGGTGTGTCTCACTGGAAACAGTCATGAATGTACATCCCCCACGTAGGTCAGACTGCAAGACCTGATGAAATTAAGTCCAATTAAAACTAATTTATTGACACTGTCAGATGTGTTTGATGTTCAGGAGCTCCATTAACCACAGTAGAAACATATTAGTTTATTCATTATGAGTGTTTATTTACACAGTGTGATTGATGATTGAGCCTGCAAAGTATCATTTGATTCATCATCTTCTTCTCCCTGTGTGTGAGCTGCAGACTGAACCACCTGGTGAAATGTGCAGCACACACAGGCACATGTGGTCATGCCCACATACTTGTGCACACATGAAAGTGTTGCAGTGCGTGACTGTGGCAGATGGCGAGCCTGACTGTTCAGTCCTCATTAGATTTAAAAGATTTTTATTTTCAACATCATTATCTCTCAGGAGAAACAGTTGAAACGTCCCATATTTTACACTTTTCCTGTGTTTTATTTGTGTTATGTAAGTGTTGATCCATAAGAAGATATATTTATAGTTTTAAGAACCAAAAACCGTCTCGGTGTAGTTTTGCATCTCCTCTCTCAGGCTTCTCTCATGGAGCTCTAGTGACAACAAGTTGGTCTGACTGTTTTCTGAGTGATCTAATTAAAATATAGCAGATTTCAGGAAAAAAAACTCATGGAAACCAAATCCTGCAAGGTCGGATGGTGGGTGCAGGTGGGCGGGGCTTGGTGTATGGCTGAGAGCACTGACTGCTTTGTTGTGACATCACAAAGTTCCAGAAGTCCTGACGGCTCGTCGTAAGGCTCAGTGTCTGAATACAGGCCGTGTGCATTTCTCTGCGGACTGAGCGCTTTGATACTTTCACAGTATTAATATAGAACCTAGACCTGATCTATAATCAAACAGCACATGGAAATCTACTTTTACACTATATATGTTTTATATATTCTTTAAAATGATGAATTGTGTTGATGCAGCTCTGTATTTCTCAAAACAATGGAAGCTCAGCTCTTTTTGAAGGTGCAGCAGATCAGTCATTTGGTCGTCACTTGACAATTTGGACTTTTTAAAATAAATAAATTAAAGTGGCATAATCCTTTAAAGCAGCCCTCAGTTTGACCAACAGAGAGCATCTCCCTCTGAGAAGAGGGTGACGGCATCTTCCTCGTGTCAACATTTATAACTGCTCCAAACTAACAGGCTGGAAAAGCAGAACCCGCGGCACTCACTAAAACATGACAAGGCTGCCAATACTGAGTCTAGTAGCATTTTAGGTATGTGTTAAATAATTCAGTTCTATTTGAGGGTACAACTTGCCCTTGTGTGCACAGTCAGCACACATCATTACATCATCTTCACCTCAACTCAACTGTGAGAAAGAAGTGGTCATGTTCACCACGTCACGAAACATTTGCGTGACTGAAGTTCGGCCATTTTACCAAAAACGAGTCGTCTTGCCATATTAAAAATTGATGCACATTTATTTTACACACACTACCACTAATTAATTAAATTATTAAAAAACTCAATAAAGCATCTGAATGACATGAGGATCTGCACCTCTGTGTGTGATAATTGTTTGGTGCATTATTCTTTGCTCATGCAAATCCCAGTGACAGTGACCTTAAATTACAGCTACTGGTTCTAACACGAAGTCAAAACTTAACAACATGAGTAAGATGATATTGATTATAAGACCACTAACTATTGACTATTGAACTGCTGACCTTGGTGATCCCTTGACTTTCCCTCTAGCACCCCCAGATGTTTAAGAGGTTTTGATTTTGAGTGAAATGATGATGTGTGCTGTAACTAGTGTCCACGGATGTCTGTGTGAGGTGTTGAGACAACATTGGTAAATTGTATCATCAAACAGTCTGCATGTGAGGCGTTTAAGGGATTTAGGGGACATCTAAGTCTGCATGTGAGTTGGGGGGATTTGATGGGTTTCTTTGCTTGGGGCCCCCCCAGAGTCTACAGTCACCACTGCTCCTACAGCAGCCGTCAGACACTCCTGTGAGTTAAACTGATAAAACACTGTCAAGGTGCTTTCAGGCAGCGAGTGGCTGCCGCCACCTCCATTTACTGTCAGGTGCTGCTCTCATGAATACAGCTCAGCTCTGTGCCGCTGCATTCTGAGTTAATGATGGTTGAACTTTTTTAACTTGCAGCTGTAGCTCACTGCGTGCCCATGGCAACCGCCGAAACTACAGAGAGGGAAACGATACAGGAGCTGACTTCACTGACTCTGAGTCGCCTGAATGATTCTCCTCTTTACCTGCAGATCAATGGAGAGAAACAGTGCTGGAGCAACATGAACTCTAAAGTCTGATTATCTTGGTCAATACACAACATCTATGACACTAGTTTGCTAAATCTCCAGTGTTGAGAGATGAGAGCAGGTGGATGGTGGATAGCAGCTGCCTGTGTTGTTCAGGCTGGAAGGAGAGGTGGAGTTGCGGCTTGCTGCTAATTCCAAATAAAGACAGCTGAGTTTTCTGAGAAGCTGCTGCGGTTGTGACCATTTTCTGTCTGTAAGCAACTTTGGGCAGGGGTGGACTGAAACAATAATTCAGGCCGGGACTTAAACACCATCCCAGGCCACCTTCACAAACCATCAGACCGCTAACTGTGGAGGCTAACCCTGTTTGTTGATGTGACAGGTACCACACTACCTATAAATATGGCCACTATTCCTTTGTCTGGGAGGGAAATTATTCAGATTACAAAATACAAAGATTTGTGGCTATATAATATATATATGTATGTATATATATTATTATTTTTAAATTATTTTATTATTATTAAATATTTATTCTTGTTTTTTAAAACATTCTTGCAATTATTACAGGAGAAGCAGCGTGTGAGATTACTGCGTGGTACTTACTCTTCAGGTTTCCAACTCCTGAGTGTTTAAAATTGCTACCATGGCGATAACTCCTGCACCGCAGCTAATAAGGAAAGAAGCGAGACTAAATGGACTCAAACTGGTTCGAGTGCCGCGTTGAAGTGGCTGATGATTTGGCTAATTAAACTGAAATTGTGGGTGAACCCATGAGAGCTTATTTTCTTCCTCTCATCTCCACTACATTCACATCTGTTTAGCATTCAGAACAGGAAAGTCAGTCAATATGGACGCTCCGAAGAGGCTCACGCCTCCGCTACCTTCAGGGACGCCCCCGTCTTTATGTATTCTTCTTCTACCTGCTTTTATTTGGTATGCATCTCAGGGCCTTTCCAAAATCAAAGTGTGTGAAAGAAGATAATTTGATGTCTCCCCTGCCCGGCTGTATTTATGGTTATGAAGCATGGTGGCAGTCCCTCAAAGGGAGAAGCTGTCCATGTGACTGGTTTTCATATCAGGTCGCTTTCAGCAAGGAAACAGGGAGAAGGGAGTAGTAATAATTACCTCTTTGAAAACTCTCCCCTGAGGCTTGCTTTGTCCAAGATTTCTCTCCTCACCCCGTTTCACAAGTGTTTCTCATCCATCTTCATTCACTTACTTCAAATTGAAATGAAATAAAGTCAGAGCTGGCTGAAGTAACATGTGAACAGACAGTGTAGTCAGTTGCATCTCAGAGTTAAAATAAGTGGATTCACAGACATTTGAGGGTGTTTACCTCGTACGGTTCTTGTGTTTGTGGATGGTGGTATTTAGGCTGCCATTTGAGTATTGATTTGCTGATGTAGACAATAAAACCTCATGTTCTGAGCTGTCTGGACGAATGAAGTGATATTTTAAAGCTGCATCATTTGTACCACCAGATCACTGGTTTCTAAATCTGTCCCATGATGCAACATGTCTGGAGTCATGTTTATCTCCAC